AATTAATTTACAACTATTTCACCTGATAATTACGGATGATAAAGTTTCTGGCCTGGGGGGTGGGGGTGAAGTGAGCGGCCATGTGAATATTGGTAAAACAATGTAATTTAGCCCTTACTATGAGACTACATTATGAAGTTAAGTAAAAGCACTTTCTGACTGTTGTGGAGTTCGAGAAAACTGTTAGTTCATACAATAACATAGCTCTTGTAAGCTGGCAGTTTCTTATTTGATTGGATTAATTAGACTGAGCAGTATGTGTTAACTTAAACATAATGTCTTGTCTCAGTCAGTTCATTTTACAGGCATTTGTGAGACAGTTTTTTTAAATTGATTTTCGATAGAGCTTATACAGAGTGCTTAAGTTTTATAGAACAACCAGTGTTTTTTCAGAATTCCACCCTCTGCTGTGGCCTGTAGGATTTAGGTGAAATAGCATATTGTCAGAGTGTTCTGGTATCTCGGTTTCGCTTCTTAACTGCAATGAAATCACAAATTCTTTAACTTGAAAAATTAAATGTAAGGCATTCCACTACAGTCAATCGAGCGCACTGTTGGTTCTGGGCACAAAGATCAATTAAGACTTCACCACAGGACTTGAGCATCTGGGTTGTGCTGAAAGTTAAAATGGCTTCACAATAATAATTTTCTATAGTAAAAAGAATGTATGGGTAATTTATGCAGCTTTTGCTTCCAATACTGTAACTGAAACATCACTGGTCACGGAAAGCCTAATTGAATTACAAATATGAGATGTGTTGTGGGGAAATATCTTGGAACTAGAAAAGCTCAGAGTTGTCTGCAGTTTAAGTTCTGCAGTATTTAAAATAAGCATGTGTAGTTCTGTGAAAATATTGATGTTTTTAAACGTAATGCAACTGCTCCAGCTTGGACTGTGCAAGTGAGTGATACAACTTCTGTTGGCCTATAATAGATGCAAGTAAACTAAACGTAATCTGGCTGGGGCCACTTGGGAACCACCTGATTAAACCTGACGGCCAGGATTTGAGAGGTCTGCTTAAGCTGTATATACATAACAGACCAAACCACGATTTGAGCCCCTGGATTCCATACTACTTCGCCATATGTTACTTGTTTCCGCGGTCCTCCTTCAGTCCACAGGTAGCAATTGGCCAAACGGCGGCCCATATTACTGTTGGGATACTTGAACAGAAATTTTGGAATTCTCACTTGCAGCGTGACTTCTCCTCACTTGTGGGAATACTGGCTGGACTGCTGGAAAGAAATTCGAGTCACGTCACATGTCACGTGACTAATTCGTATGCAGTCCAGTTTTTCATGTGAATACAGCTTTAGAGAAAAATATTTACATTCAGAAAAGGTAGTGCAGGTATCTGATCCAATAGGCTCATTTGCTGCTCAAAAAGATGCGTCGAAGTGACCTCCCTTGATGACATCACTGCTAGTGATGATGCAAGTTTGCTTCTTGTGCATAGGAGACGTTTCAGAGGTATCAGAAACACAGTTCTTACAAATTAAACAGAAAATATTGCTGTTAGTGCCCTAATTCTATCTGGTAGAGCTGATAACGCATCCATCAGCAGTTCTCTCTACTTTTAAATGTCTGATATTTAAAGTACTAAGTTTGAATTAACAAGTGTTTGCCTCTTTATGAAAGTGTAAGTACTTAATGAAACTCCTGAACATGGCTGATTTAATATAACAAATTAACAAAAGCTGTCTCTACTCCATTGTTAATCTGCAAACTTTTTCATATGCTTGTCTTTTGCAACAATTATTGTGTTGTAGCTAACTTAGCATAAGTTAAATTCAATGCAAAAAATATTCGAGAGGCCGGGTGAGTTCATGACTAGAAATGTTTACTCCGACTTAAGATAACAAAATGTAACAAAATCTAAATGCACGTTTCACCATCTATGCGGGTGGTATCCTCAGTATGCACTGGCCCCAAATGAGTGGATGTTGCCCAGTCCACTGCTACTCTTGTATGTCTCTGTACTGAAGTCGAAGGCATGTCCCATTGTCCAGCAGTGTTCGACTAGTTCTGTCTTGGAATGCGTGGCATGGGTGGCTTTAGCGACGTCCCCTTTGTGTTCTGTGAGCCTTGTTGACCGCTTCTTGCCTTTCGCCAATGTATGTGGTGTCACAGTCACCGCATGGTACCTTAAACGTCCCCGCTCAAAACCTAGTCATAAGTGGAGTGATTCTCTCGCCATTATGCCGAGTATCATTTCGCTTGCCGAGAGCATTGTTCCGTATTGATATCTGCGGAACACAACCAGTGGTACGTATCCTTGCCAGCAGAGCTGAAGCACAATGGCCAGAACATTCCTTGTTCCAAAGGAATAAGTCACTGTGCAATCAAGTATTGTTGAAGACATTGAGGATGACTTTGTTGCACCATGCTCAGTGGTGATAGGTGCGCAAAAAGTTCAGTAGCTACTAGAGTGCAGACTTATGCAGTGTTGAGGGGCTGAATTGAGGTATGGTTGCGCGAGGTGGTGAATCCTTATGACAAGTGAGACCTTGGTTTTGGGATTGTGTGGTCAGCGTAGCCGCTGTGCACAATTTGTGTACTATTTGTAGTGATGGTTGGGCGTGAAGCGTGTTGTAGGGGCAAAGCTTGAACAACGCAGAAGTTCATGTTAGTGTTGCGGATGTCAAGTATGAAGCTGCAGAGTTCAGTGAATCAACCAGCAGCAAGCAGTGTTATAGAAGCAAATTCTGAATTCATGGAGCTGCCAGCTGCAACATTGGCATGTGGTGCTGGCAAGGGAATGTAGTAATATGAAATCACAATCTGTTCACATTGGTATGCATACTTGTGCCTGGTTGAAGTCAAAGCACGGAGAGAAGGCCATATGGCAGATTGGGACTTGTGTGAAGATAGCACAAGTGCTTATCATTCACATTGTTGGGGTAAAGGTAACTCTTCGAATGATAGGATTTCTCCTATAAAGCTTCTGTAGGCCGGGTATTTGTAGGACGAAAGAGGAAAGTACATGTGAAGGTGCTCTGCATGCTGTTGCATGTGATGTTCTTATGCTGGTTGAGTCAGTTAAAGAGGTTTTTTTTTCATGTGTAAGTTTCCACAGAACAGTAAACAGCATATGCGTGGTAATATTCAAGAAAGAATCCTAGGGAGTATAAAGCGTCGAAGAGCACTTGGGATCTGCCTGACTTGTATTGCCTTAGGAACAATTGCCCCACAGAGGCCTTTGAGTTGAGTTGTGGGCTCATGGAAGACAGTAAGTTGGAGACTTGTGCTGGTGCCTAATGATTGGCACAGCTTCATTGTGTCATAATGTTGGCAGAGCCTTTTCAAAATGAGCCTGAAGGCTCGAGGGGGCATAGTAGTCAATAATGGTTCTTTGGAGATCCTTGTACATATCCGGCTCAAGGGGTTGCAGTTATAGTTATGCTTGCAGACCCTTAGGCAACTCATGCGTGTGTGTGTTGGTAGCATAGCAGTGGGTCTCTAACATTGCTGAAGAAGGATTTGCTGTCCCGCTGGATGAACTGGTATGTCATCAGGGGGGTTTCAGAGTTTGTACATGCATGGGACTTAACATTGAAACATGTTAGGCAGTGTCGTTTTTGCATTGGTTTGATTATTTTGATGATGTTTTGTGTTGCCAACCTATGGATGTGGCTTAATGAGGGAGCTGTTACTTGCAACGAACCAGCCATGATTCAGATGGTTCCTCAGGGCAGCAGTTTGGAGTGGCCCCTCAGGCCTGGTGCAATAACATTTTCTACCTTCGCACCGATTTTCTGTCAAGTTTGTCGGCTTCTTTGGCCCCTGCTGGCGGCATACAACTGTCGTGCCATTATAATTTAAAAAGAAACTGTATTTAATAGTAAGTGGGTTTCTCCAAGCTGGGTTAGTTGCTGTCACTCTTGTCAATATACAAAGGTTTGAACAAGACCAAGTAATGGTTCCTCAAGGTATGAATGCTAGTTATATGCCTTTAAAAAGGCTTGTCTTGGTAAATATAACATCAGCCTTTTAAAATATGCATCAACATTTTAAGTATAGTAATAAAAACCAACTAAAAATAAAATACACCTAGGATACAATGGGATTCAAACCCAGGCCTTTTTGCATGGTAACCCAGTATTCTATCGCAGAGCCACCCCTATGCTTGAAACACAGTTGCAAACTGACCCTATGCAGGCTTCATGGCGATTATCAATTCTTGTTAACATGTGCAATGGAGTGTTTTAGAATAATGTAATAACGAGGCATCACACAATGCAAATTGTATAATGAATGGACCATTGAATGCTTCCAATCTATTACAACAGGCTCAGACATAATTCTTTGTTGTCGTCAGCTGCGGCATCAATAGAGTGCACATAATGCCTTATGGGTGTGTAGCGGGTACCACGCTTCTTCGAAGAATGATGAACACTAATGGAATAGTGCATGCTTCCTTCTTTTATGAATATGGTGATGATTCGTGGTGTAGTGGGTGCCATGCAAGTGCACTTGTAGTAGTTGCCCCAAGAGTGTTTGAAAAAGGCTTAGAAAGGCCGCTCTTCTAATTTTCACTGGGGCCTGTGCTTCATGTTTCCCGTAAGCCTGGCATTCTTTTTTTATATAGAAATGAAGACTGTAGTCCATGTGAATAGTTCGAAAATTTATTTATTTGTACATTTATACTGTATTTTCGCAAGGCAACAATGTGGAATATTGTGGAATTTTTGGAATATTTTTGGAATATTGTGGAATAATGTGGAATTTTTGTAATGCTTTGTGTTGGGAACGGCATCACACACCAGAAAAGGAAAGCAACGTTTTATACAGTGACTAAATTCAGTAGTTCATTTGAAGCTTCTTTATTCACCAACCTAAATTATATTATCAGATTTTACTTGCTCATTGTCATCAGCTTTTGGTGGATTCCTGTGTAGCATTGGAAAAGTGTAAGAAGATTACTCGTTGATTAAGTGTATTATGCTGCTTTGTAACATTTTGTTGGCATTTGTGCCTTAGACAAAATAATTTTTTTTAGGCTCAGCCAATTCCTGCAGAGCTGGTGACCAAGCTTTTGGGCCATCGTGTGGCAGTGAGCCCCATCGTAACTGTGGAGCCTCGGCGCCGCAAGTTTCACAAGCCAATAACATTAACGATTCCTGTGCCACAAGCAGCAACCAAAGGCATGATCAACCAATATGCTGGTGATGCACCCACTCTGCGCCTACTGTGCAGTATAACAGGTAACTTCTGCCTTTAAGATGCTTGAACCGTTTCTCTGGTTTTTTTACTCACGTTGACAAGTGGTCATTCTCCTTTTGCCGTAACTCATTTGAAGTGCGGTAGGATACTTTATGGGCAATTTTTCATGTCATAGTTGATTAAGTTTTTTTATGGCACGGTTTGACACTTTGGGTTGATCTATTGTTGTGTGTTCAAGACCAAACATATTACTTTTCAGTAAGCCTAATTAATCGTTTATTTTTCGTGTCTGGTAATATTTATAATAGCGTGTGACTTGTATTGGTTGTCCTCTGATGATAAATTATTTTAAAATTTGATGCTACGAAAAGCACCATATTCTTAAACATATTTCAAGGAAAGCATGAGGTGCTCCAGACAAGCGAAAGGTAACCACAAAATGTTTGCTTACCTTCAACTACTTGCATGTCCGTAGCATGTATGCAATTAAAAAAGTTCACTTTTCAGTAATATATTCGTGCTTTCTGTTCAACTCAAGTGAGCAATTTTGCTACTTTAAATGCAATTTTCATTGTATTTAGATTACTCCTGACTTTTTTTGTGTTTTTCTGTGCAAATTAAGTACCGGATATCTTGGAGTATTTGGGAAAGTGTTTTAAAGGTAGTTACATTGTTAAAGGTAGTTACATTGTTTGCTGGGCAGCTGTTTACCGTGCACTCACTTATCTGCTATATGTATGTTCAAGCTGCTCAGAAATAACTCCCAGCCTTTTTTGCTGCGAGACGGCACTGCACTTGGCTTTTTTGTAATAACAGTTCTAGTGAGGGCTCATATTGTATTCAAATGTTGTATATAGTTACAGTAATGTTTCCCTGAATGCCAAATGAAGTAATAGTTATTTTTATTATGCTTTGGTGGCTCTTAACAGTTTATCTTAATCTGCAATCTTGAAATGTGCTTGACTGAGCTTGAGCTTTACCAGACTCTCATTTCTCAACAGGCACACATACACAAATATGCACATGCACACGTACAGGATGCACATACACACGTACAATTTATGGCATACCTATTTTTAGGAGATCACAAAGGTAGTGCATAGAATTTTCATTAATTAGTCACAATAATGTCATGCTAACGGTGTGTGACAAAGTATTTCTGCCTTGACATGGAGATGGAGTTCGTGTGTGAAAATGACAAGAGCCTTACTCTGTGATCGGATATTTATAAAATGTCGATATTTATTAAAAGAAAATGCACACACACACAAATATATATATATATAAGGAAAAGAAGTGGATACTTAAGGGCTCATTTTTCCGTGTTTTGACACAACAATAATGAAATCTAACAGACAATAATGCCAAGAAAAGTATAGGGGAGGTTATTAGACCAAATTGTAAGGTAAATGGGAAGAAAGAAAAGTGGGTGAAAAGATGAAAAGATAACTTGCCGTGGACAGGAACCGAACCTGTGACCTTCGAATAATGTTTTTGATGCTCTACCACTGAGATACTACGGCGGCTATCCTCCAAGCCACTTTATTGGATATATATGTGAATTTAAACGTGGGAGTGTCAGTCAGCGCCATCTGTAGCTATGGCGGCAAGTGTGGCACACTCTCTTATGATATATATATATATATATATATATATATATATATATTGTGGGCATTTAGTATACGCATCCTCTTCACTGGTACATTATCATCATTATCATGTGTGGCTCATGCATCCTCATCGTTGTCGCGTAGCATCATCATCTTGGCTCATTCATCGTAGCTGTCGGCTGCCGATTCCTCGGGCCTAATAAAAGGTAATCCAAACCAACACTTCATACGTGGTGGAGAGTGCTGTTAGATCCCCCGCCATCCTCTCGACCACTCTACCCCCTGGAGCTACGTTCAGGTCGCTGCTTGGGCCAGGTGTCCGGAAATATGTCGCACCAAGATGAGGCCGGTGCTGCAGCCGTTCCCACGCAACCACCGCGTGCCGCGCCTTCTCACGTCATCAACAGCCTCCAGCGTGAGCCCCATCCCTTCGCTGGTATGCGCGGGGAAGATGTGGAAGAATGGCTGGACGATTTCGAACGTGTCGGCGCTGCTAACCGGTGGGATAACACCTACAAACTCGCTCACGTGTCATTCTACCTCACGGGTGTCGCGAAGACGTGGTTCCTCAACCACTTCATCGACATCCCCGACTGGTCAGCCTTCAAAGATCAGCTTCGCCATGTCTTTGGCACACCGGCTGTTCGTTCGGCTCTCGCAAAGAAAGCTCTCGCGACTCGGAAACAGCACATCGGGGAGTCGTACACATCCTACATCGAGGATGTTCTTTCACTTTGCCGCCGGGTTGACACACCAATGACAGAATCAGACAAGGTGCGCCAGCTTCTTAAGGGGATTGCACCCGTCGCATTCAATGCCCTAGCGATCCAGAATCCGGCTACCGTTGCTGACGTTGCGACAACCTGTCAGCGCCTCGAAGAACTTGAGTCTATGCGCCTACAATCAGACAGTGATGCGGCCCGTATTACGACTGATCCAAACCTGCGAGACACGATAAGGGCGATTATACGTGAAGAATTAGAATCAATGGGATTCACACTACCTTCAGTGTGTCCCGTTCAGTCCTCTTCAACGTCATTGCGGCATGTCATCAGGGAAGAGCTCACGTCCATGACCCACATGGCCAACCTGCAGCCCATTGTCTCTCGTACTCTACCATCGTTCCCGCACAACGCCGCCGCACCACCAGGCACCGTCAGCTCGACGTCCCCGCCACGAACGTACGCGTCGGTTGCTGCCGCACCTCCCACAAGCTTTCCCACGAGCTTTTCATCACCACCGCGTGAGCCGTCACCTGTCCCTCTGACTTCTCTCTCTCCTGGTGCAGTTAGCGCAAGCTACTACCCTCCTCATCGATCGACTCGGCCTACGTGCTATTACTGCGGCTATCGTGGTCACATTGCACGCTTTTGCCGCAAGCGCCAGCAAGACGAGCGCTGAGGGTATGACATACGCGAACGGGACTATACCGCAGGAGCCTTGTACCAGGGTCACCGTTATTCGTCACCGCCACGTCGGTCTCCATCTCCGCCAGCATCGGGTGAACTGCGCAGTAGTCACCGATCAACCCGACGCCGTTCACCGTCGCCTTACCGGCGCTCTTTTTCTCCTCTTCAGCCTGCTTCCCTTACTTCTGATCGGCGTCCGGAAAACTAAGCGATGCAGTTTTTAGAGGACAAACTGCATTCCAACACAGGACTCCAATTCCTCCAGCGCGCCCCTACAATATGATTGCGGTCACAGTTGAGGGAGTGGACGTTGATGCTTTGGTGGACACTGGGGCTGCGTTTTCTGTTATTCGTGCTGATTTGTGTGCCCGCCTTTGAAAAGTCACGACGCCTTATGATGGACCGACACTGGTTACAGCCCAGGGAACAATGATTCGCCCTTCCACTCTCTGTACTGCCCGTGTACTAATCGACGAAATTCTTCATCACATAGAATTTGCTGTGCTATCCCCGTGCTCCCATGAACTCATTTTAGGCTGGGACTTTCTTTCCTCTGCTTCTGTGGCTATTTGCTGTGCACAACGTGTCGTCCATCATACTGACACGGACCACTTGCTCAACGACGAAACCTACAGGCCACTTCGACTCATCGCTGCAGTAGACATCGAGTTACCACCAAACGAACATCAATTAGTGACAGTTTTGTCCAACGACGTCGACTCTGGTGACATTTTGGTCACTCCGTCACCGTGTTGCCTTAATAAAGGCATAGCTCTGGCATCAGGTGTGGCTCGCTTCAACAATGGATCAACTGTCCTCGCTGCTACCAACACTACACAAGATAAAATTTTAATACCACGGGGCACTACTGTCGCCTGCGTTGCCGATCTGCAGCCTGTGTGCGTTGTGCCTCTTACCCCTGTCTCCTCTAAAGGCCATCCTGCAGATCATGCTGCTTCCTCGGCCTTTACAGCAGCCATCAACAAAGACTTGAATGACTCACAGAAGCAGCAGCTGCTTGATTTGTTGGAAAAGCATGCAAACTCCTTTGACATTCATTCATCCACCCTGGGCCAGGCAACTGCTACAGTACATCGTATTCAGACCGACGGAACATCCATTGTGCACCGCCATCCGTACCGCGTCTCTCTAGCTGAACGAAAAATCATTGAAGAAAACGTAGACGATATGCTCCAACGGGGGATAATCCGAACCTCAACCAGTCCTTGGTTGTCGCCCATCGTTCTGGTACATAAAAAAGACGGTTCCGTACGATTTTGTGTCGATTACCGAGCACTCAATAAGATCACTAGAAAGGACGTATAACCCATGCCACGCATCGACGACGCCCTAGATTCCTTACAGGGTGCTGAATACTTTTCGAGCCTCGACTTGCGTTCCGGCTATTGGCAAATCCCCATGCACGAAGATGATAAAGAAAAAACTGCGTTTGCAACCCCGGACGGCCTATACGAATTCAATGTTATGCCATTTGGTCTATGCAATGCGCCCGCAACTTTTGAGCGCATGATTGACACCGTGCTGCGTGGCCTGAAATGGAAGACTTGCCTATGTTACCTCGATGACATTGTTGTCTTTTCATCGACGTTTCCTCAACATCTGCAACGCTTGGACGAGGTCCTGACTTGTCTTGCGGGCCCTGGTCTTCAAATTAACACCAAAAAGGGCCATTTCGCCAGCAGATCTATCAAGGTACTCGGTCATGTTGTGAGCAAGGACGGAATCCGCCCAGACCCTGATAAAACTGCTGCAGTGCTTCGCTTCCCTCGCCCTGACAAACCAAAAGATTTGCGAAGTTTCCTTGGTCTCGCCTCTTACTTTCGGCGATTCATACAAAACTTTGCCTCCATAGCCGCACCACTTCATAAGCTACTTGCTTCCGGTATGCCCTTTCAGTGGTCTCAGGAATGTGAATCGGCTTTCGACAGGTTGAAGAGTGCCCTCACGACCGACCCTGTACTTGCTCATTTTCACGATGATGCACCGACCTTCCTGCACACA